CAACAATTCTGGGCATAGGCTAACAGTTTTTGAGAACATCTTGATAAGTTATAATTAGCTCATAGTTTGAGGCCTAGTCAATGGATCCTACTTGTCAGTCTTCTATAGAATATTCAAATAACTCTTTTAGTTAATAAATTTACTTTTTTGTTTTAGTATGGATTTGATACGCTTATTGGTGGTCCACGTCATCGTTCAAATGATAGTCGGCAAACTATTGAACGTTTATTATCAAATAATGCTATGGAACAAACAATTCATCCAGAATTTCTTCGTCTTGTTCCACCATTACATGAATGTACAATAGATGAATTAGTTTGGTTATCACCTATTGATTGTGATCCATCTTTATTTACATGGGATTCAACAATGTGTATTGCAAATACAATTAATCATGAAATTCGTCAATTAATGGATAAAGCATATCAAGGTGCATTAAATTTACAACAACAACAAAAATTATTAGATGAACTTGATAATGATCCAAATCTTGTTTATCATATTGGTCTTGTACCATCAAAATTACCCATATTAGTTGAAAATAGTCCACTAATAAGTATACAATGTTTGTTAAAATTAATATCATCAAATCAAATGACAGAATATTTGTCATCATTACTTAATATGGATATGAGTTTACATTCAATGGAAGTTGTTAATCGTTTATCAACATCAATGGAATTACCACAAGAATTTCTTCATTTATATATATCAACATGTATAAAAACATGTGAAGAAACAAAAGATAAATATTTACAAAATCGTTTCGTACGTCTTGTTAGTGTTTTTATTCAATCGTTAATACGTAATAAAGTTATTGATATAAAAGATCTTTTTTTGGATATTCAAGGTTTTTGTATTAACTTTCGTCACATTAGAGAAGCAGGCGCACTATTTCAACTTGTTAAATCATTTGACCTACGAAATAATGATACTAATGAAACAATAACACCACCACCAACAACAACAACGATGATGATCTCAACACCATTGACAGCAAATGATGAATGATATATGTATATAGATATTTTTTTTCCCTCCTATTTATCATCTGTTCGATATAGTCCAATGTTGTGGATGTTGTTTGTTATGTTAGCAAAAGTTCATTCTTTCTCTTTTTTTGATATACATATATATATATATGCTACAGTGATATCAAGTGATTGTTAACTAGTTATATTGTTTCTAATTTTAGATTATTTTTAAATCTATTATAACATTTAACATTGTTGAATATGTTAAATTATTGAGAATGTTGACTTCTAGCTCTAAGTATTCAAATATTTAATATTCGTAAGTTCACTTATTTAATGCAATTTTAAAAAAATTTACATTAGATGATCTAGCTCACTACATTTGTATTTAAATGGAATAATTTTTATAAGATAATTTTCATACGAAATTATTTATGTTTATATCGTTTGAATGAAATCAACACGTAAGTTTTGAACTGAATTTTGTAATATGAAATAAAATATATCGAGATAAATAATAAATCATCTATTGGTGTATATACAAAACTGGTCAATTTAATACTGTTGATGAGATTCACTAATAGACTTCGTTGAGTTTGGTCCAGAACCGGATCTGGATCGAAAATTTTAGACCTGACAGGCCTCTAATCGCTTGAGAAATATCTAGGGTGCACTTGTTCCCGAATACAAAAAGAAAAGAAAACAGGCTCTTGTATCTTCGAAGCGACTGCTTAATGTCCATTAGAAAATTTGATTGAAAATATCAAAGTACAATTCGAAACAACTTGATCAAGCGAATCCAGTTTTGAAAGCTGTAGATCTGACGGGTTCGATTGTATAAAGAATCTGATAGAAATTATAGATTAGAGCTTCTAAAAATCGAAAAAAACGATATCATGATAAGTATTGTCTAGAATGATGCCTTATCTCATTGAAGAAATTCCTATCCTTATCCACATGACGAACAAAAATAATTTTGCTTTCATATTTTTCTAACAAGCAGGCATACTAAAGAAACATCCTGAACGGTGTTTTATTCAGATTTTATCTTCTGGGCAGAGTGCAATATGAAACTTCAGGAGGGTAAACCTATTTTTGAGAGCATAAACACATAGTACATGCTATAATAACTACAGACTCCCGTAGAGTCAAACTGATTTTCAGAGAAGCATCACATTCCTTTGATAAAAACATTGATCTTAAAATAATCTTCACTAATATCAATATGCTCTTGGTTGAATTACTAATTTATATTTACTGTAACAATCATTTGTTTTGTTTCTGTATTACATTGTACCTATGACATATCTAATATAAGACTAAGAAAGAATAGAAAAACCAAATGTTTTCATATTGTTTTCTTTTGTTTTTAGAAAACATTACTATTTAATACACATGAGAAGAAAATTAATCTTGAATTATTAAATTTTATAAAATCATTTTCTTTTAGTTTCTATCAATGAAACACCTGATGTAAGCATTGTTTAAATCGCATGATTGATTGAAATTTAATGCTTATAACAAATGGCCTTGAACTTTAGACACCAAAAACAAAAACGATTTCTCATCAATTTGTTTAAATAAAATATTTGACTAGTTGATAATGTTTTATTTTTGACTCTAAATATATGTTTATTTAACTAATTTCTTTCAGATTATAATAAATGGACAAATATTAACAACAATGGATCGTAGAAACGTTGTATTCAGTGTTGTGCAAGATAGGTATGCTATTTTTTAAGTATAACATTTTCTATGAACGATCATCCGATTACTGTCGTATAAAAGAAAAAAAATCAATGCTCTTATTCATTTTTAATATCAAATATAGGTATATATACACAGGACATATGCAAACGATTGTGACGGTAGATAAAATGAAGTCATTTTTTGGTTACCGATGTTTCTATTCTTTTTTTTACTTTCCAAGTTTGATTATTATTGAAGACAGGTTTTTTTTCTTTTTGATATGAATCATAGAGCAAACATGACAACAACGCCCCTATATATTCATACATAAAGCTTGACGCAGATTTTGTCATCAAGTTTTGTTTGTCCTGTTTTTTTGCGATGTGTATGCGTCATTAATCATCGTCTATAGTAAGTAGGAAAAGAACGTATAGTGTAAAAACGAGACGAATAAAAAAAAATCATGCGTCATCGTCCTCCAAACCGTTTTTTTTCTCTTCGTTCCTTTTTTTTTGCGCCTCCTCGGCAGCTGAGTAAGAGAACAATCAGGGACGTAAAGATGAAGCAATCGCAAAAACGATGTATGAGTATGTAGCATGTGTGTATGTTGTTAAGGGAGTATGGGCTATATGCGCAACTATAACTCTATTTCGCGCTTTTCTGTCTACAGTACTTTGCGTTCTGATGATGCGACGCTGATTCAACGGGCGGTAAGCAGACTGACTAATGTCAGTACCTCGTGGATCATGAAATTCTCTTTTTTCTTTTTTGTCATATCCTATAGAAGAGATGTTCCTCAAATATCTTCGATTTTGAACTTATTTCGTTTTTAACCATCTGGTACTTTCTCAAAAGAAAACCAAAAAAATCAATATCACATTTCAGTTCTCATTAGTTTTTTTTTCTTTTGCCGTTCGATGTAGATCAAAGATACAAACTTTTACACCGACTCTATTTAAAATGTCAACACAACAGCAAACCGCAGAAAAAAGTGTTCAAACACAAGATTTGTCTGGGTCAACAACATTACTTGTTTCAAATAATCCTGTAACACATATTCATACAGAAAATACGGCTGCTGAAGTTGCAAATACACTTGTTTCGATGGCTACTGGACGACAACGAGCAACAACTGTGAAGCAACTGGTATGTGACCAAAAAATAAAATAAAATCTTGCTTTTTTGATACTATAAACTTCTTTTCTTTTTCTTGTATAGAATGTAATTAGCGTTCCATCTCCATCAACTTTACCAATATTATCACTTGCTGACTATACAACACCAAGAGGTGTTCCAACAGCCATGGCTTTAGCCAATCAAGCTAAACTCACGCCAACAAAACATACTGAAATATTAGAAGGTGATGATGATGATGATGATGCTTCAATGTCAACAGATGAATATAATCAAACACAAAATGATTTGAAAACTCGAACGAAAACGACACGAGGAAAACTAAACAAAACAGCATCAACATCAAAAAATAATAAACACCAAACTACAGAACCAATTCATTATGGTCCAATTGTTGTCAAACCACGAAAGAGTGTTGCACCAACACTTGCTAATGGACGAAAAAGTAAAGATGAACCCGTATGTATTATAAATTTCTTTATATTAATGCTTTTAAAAGATTTTCTTTTTTTTTTTTTTTTTCTTTAAAAAGCTTCCACCAGATGAAGATGCAAGACGTAAACAACGTCGTGATAGAAATAAACAAGCTGCTGCTAAATGTCGACGAAAACGAAACGAACTTCGTGAACAATTAGAAAAAGTTTGTTAAATTTCCAAAAAAAGAGCTCCTTTTTTTGAATTTTTGTTTTGTTCATTTAAAATAGGCTGAGCAAGTATTAATCGATGAACAAAAATCTCTTGAACATGCTGTTCAGACATTAGCTGATCAAAAAAATCAATTAGAAATTTTATTACATCGCCATGTATGTACAAAAAAGACACGTTTACCAATAACAACAACAACACCTGTTAATAGTTTAAATATTCCTAAATCTGATATAAAAACAATTTCAACAACAACTTTATTAGATTCAAATAATAATAATGGAAATAGTAAACGTGTTACTATTAATTTTACCAATGCACAAGATTTACTTGCTATTGCACCATTAACACGGTTAACACCAACAATTACAACAACTGATGGTACATCATCATCGTCATCAACTGTACCTATGATAACCATTCATATTATTCCAGAAGTTGCACAAGCATTACTTGGTTCAACATCAGTTGATAAAGCTAAATTAGCTGAATTACTTCAACAAGCTAATGCAACTAATTCATCGTCAATAACAATAGCGGATTCCGCATCCACAAATACGTCTACGAACAGTACAAATTGATTCTTTCATATATGATTTATATTATGCATATAGATTAATACATTTAAGTCCATTCGATTTGGAATAGAACAAATACTATGTATTTAGATAACGATCGGTATGGTTGTCATTGAACATTCTCTTCCAAGTTAAAACTAAACATTTTTTTGTATAAAAAAAAAAAGTTCGACGATTATTCTCTTTTTTTCTTTCTTTTCTGTTGCAAAGTAAAGATGTTGCTCTTCTTTGTATCTTCTCTTTATTGTTTTTCTTTTCTTCTTTTGTTTGTTGTGGATGTGTGTCCGTATGTGTGTATGTATTCGTTCCATGTGTATTTTCGAACTCGATTAGTACTTAAGAAAAATTTTTTTTCGAAAGAAAAAAAGAAATTTCTTTTTTTTTTTTACAGGATACAACTTGAAAAAAATGCAAACAAAAGAAACGACGAATGATGAATATAGATGCTTTTGTTTTTTTGCTTTAGAAACAAAATATTTTCTTTCGCTGTTGAATGAATATGACAACAGCGGAAACCAATGCAACTAACAAGTACGTTTATTGATAAGATACTAAAAAAATGATCGTTTAAGAATATAAGATAATAAATTCGAATTCAGTGGGATTTGCTGTCAGAGAAAGTCAATGCTGATGGTGGGCTATTAATTCGTACTAATGAGTAGTTTTTGCCACCGTTAGACTGGCGAGGAAACTAATCGAATTAATACTCGTCGTTGGAGCTCATGTTGGATGTACAAGAAACTTTTGCTAAGATTAGAAGTCTGACAAGGATTTTGCTGATAGGTCTCGACAATCAAGTTATGATCGTTGGGTAGTTCGTTCATAAGTGGACATTATTAGAAAGGAGTGTTTTCAGGCGACGCACATGGATAGTAAAAAAGAAAAACAATTTTTTATAGGTCGGCACTCTACATTTAATGATATTTTTGTCATTCATATATGCTATTCTTAGCGTCAAAATTTAAAATGTATTTTGATGACTTTTTGTTGATCTTGAGTATCAAAGCAACTAAAAACTTGCATTGTTCACATTCAAACAAGAAATGTGGACGAAATAAAAAAAAATGATCTTGATTATGATATGGTCGAATTGGTCTAATTTTGCTGAAAATTTTTCAAGCACTTATGATCTTCAATTTAGTCGGTTGATCTATTCAAAGCTGAATCTTCTAGCTCATTTAATTCAAACGTTAGAAGCATTTTATCTGTAGTCTTGAAATCAGTCAATTGACTGCTAGTCAATCTAAAGTTGTCTTGAATATGAAACATTCAATTAAACTGTGCCGAATAATGATGTTTATTTTTAATTTTGACGCCGTCCAACATTAGAGTAATAATATTTAGAAAATATCCTATCTAATGTAAACAATTTTGTACAAGTCGAATATCAAAAACTTTTGATCTGATGCAGCGATTTATTCATCATGAGAGCCAAGTTAAAATAATGAGCTGATGGCTTGCGATAATATTGAGAATACGAATAAACATAACCAATCGACTGTGCTTACAGGAGAACATTTTCATCTGATCGATTACTTTTGAATTCATAGTCTATGCATAAGATAGACTCCAATGAGGTATGAAAAGCTTCAAAAAAATAGTTTCTCACAAGATTGTTGTTCAAAGTAATGGGTATTTCATTGACTTTGGTTTCTATCAACAAATCGAATGACAGTATTCTAATCTGAGACTTTGTTGATAGACAGATCTATTTGCCAGTAGAATGTCCTCAAAATTTTAGCTCAAAAGAATGCTTCTCTTCCACGATATTGAAGCTTCAAAAGTCATTTATATTTCACAAATGATTCTAGAATTTTCTATTCTCTGAAATTTTACTAGCTCGTAAAGAAAATTTTTTACTAACAAATACACGCACCTGTCAGCAAAATTCCTGGTTAAAATGTGATCATTCGATTGGTATACACCAAGTCAGAAACTAAAATTCTAGTAAAATACCTATGACTGTGGTTAGAAGACATTAGAAGAGATATCCTTTGAACTTTTTTCATATTACACTTGAATCCAAAGTGACTGATGATAAGTTGAAACTATTCCTTCGTTAGTCAAATATCTTAAATTCAAAACATTTTAGAACGATTGGTAGTTAATCAGTGGATTTCAAGGTTTCTGACAAAACGTTATTGATGTTTGAATGGAATAAGTTCGATGATTCGGCTTTGAATAAATCAGTCAACTTAATTAAAAATCATAATTGAGTGAGAAACTTTCAATAAAATCTGACCAGCTGGATCATTTCATAATCAATATTATTTATTAGACTTCTGTTGGTATCATATTTCTCGTTTAGATGATGTCAACAATAGTTGTTTTCGTTTGAACTTTATTTATTAATTTTGAAAGTATCTTTGTTTCTTTTAGCGCGACTAATCCTATCCCACCAACTGATAATGTTGAATTTGGTCGTAATACAATGTGCCATTTTTTATCATCATTCTTTCGAAGTCTTACTCGAGGTTTGATAGATATGAACTTATTTTTTGTATCTAAGCCATGAATCTAATTTTATTCTTTAGTAACCGATGTTCAACAAGAGAAATTCTTCAATTCAATTAATCAAATTGTTATTAATACACCAAGTGTATTCGTTACAGATGCTGATAAACAACATACACTTGAAGATATTCGTACAACAAATTCTTATTGTATAATTTTATTAGTATTGTCTTTCTATGTACCATTGTGTTTTTTTCTTTGTTATACGTAGATTTTGATGTTTATATAGTTTCATTACTTGTTTGGACATTATCATCAAAAAAGTTCACTTCAATACAAGAAAATACTATTGGTGTACTTGCAAATCTCTATGGTGAATTATCACTTCGTTGGCCGGTTCTCTTTCGAATATTTACTAATGAACTAATCGATACTTTAAATGGTTAGTTTATCAATTTTTACTTTTTTTGTTTTTGAATAAATTGAATTTAATAAACCAAAATAGATACTATAAAATATGATATTGAATTTATCGAAGAAGAAATTCATCAACCAAAACAACTTCATCGTTTTCTTGTACCTGAACAAGTTGGTTCATCATTTTCAACTAATGTCACAATTGAACGATGTGTTATTGAGTTTAATTGTTCAGATGATATTAGTAGTTTTCAAATAAATCTAATGTAAAGTTTATATTTCATAGAAAAAAATCTTATTAAGAAATTAATCTTTTTTCTTTTATTATCAATTAAAAGTTCGGTGCTTAAACATCTTGCGAGTACATTGTCAACATTACTTGATCGTCAAACAATATCGATTTTAATTGGAACATTATGTGAATTAATTCGTACTGCTGATATACATGTGAAATCGGTTTGTTGATAAAATTTTTACTATTCATGTTTCAAATCATTGATTCTCTTTGTTTTGTTTTTTTTTCTGTTGTTTAGACAACATTTTCATTTTTTTCATCTTTTATTGAACATCGTTCATTAGGATTATTAATTGGTGATTTAAAACCCTATGTTCATTTTTCAATATCCGATATTATTTTAACAATTATGAATTTTATTTATACAGAACCAAAGTAAATTACATTTTTTTGTCTTAATGAGATTACTTTTCCGCGTTCCCATGTAATGAACATATTCCAAAAATTGATCGACAACTGTAAACCTCAAAAAAAATCTGAATAGACGGAATATTTTTGTTTAGAAAACAGTAAAATTTTTATCTTACTTTACATTTTTATAAAAAATGAGTTTTTAACAAACAAAATGGACAACCTTCTCCGTTTAGTGATGTGCGGAATCAACTCAAGTCTCCATTATAGTTACCTAGACCATGGAATACAAAAGTTACTCAGATTGAGACTAAAGATTAGAGTTAAATATTCTATGGGTTTTGAGCAAATTATCTTATTAGTCATGAATCACAACAGATGTGATAAGAGTAAATTCTGAAATAGTTCTCTCCAGGCCGTCGATTATGGGATTATTTATTCTATTGTACGTAGATATATTATATTCAAGTCAAAAATTATTTCTTTTACTTTTGCTGTCGTTTATGGACTAAGCGAAAACGACTACGTTCAAACGGCAGTTACCGACAGAGAAGTATTCGGAAATTTTGAGTCTCAGACGACTTTTATTCTACTTATCGCAATTAATTTGCCTTGTAAATTTCAGATCGTTTTTTATGCATTGTTCTCTGAAAACTTCAGAAAGGAAAGGATCATTTCAAAATTATCTTACATATATATTTATTTATTTGCAGACATTCGGCTCAATTGGAACATGATTTTGCTCATTTTCTTAAAATAATTTGTCAAAATCATGATGAAGCAATCATGCTTTTTGCTGAACATATTGGTTTTGTTATACCTCGTTTAAAAGATTTACTTATTCATATTAGTATAGCAAGTAAAGCGGATATTGAATTTCATATGAATACAAGACCATTAAGACTTTTTGGTGAAGTTCAAACAGAAATTTATCTTGAACAATTTTGTATATGGTTAGAAATTATATTTGAATGTGGTCAACGAGATATTGGTACTAGTTCATTATTAGTTATACATGCATATGAAATAGTTGAACATTTATTAGCAAATCTTGATGAATGTCTATTAGCAAAGGTAATCATTTATTGTTATTAAATTTATTGATTTGATAATGTTTATTTTCAGTATTTAAATCATGCATTAGGAAAAGTTATTATTTGGTTGATTCAAGAAAAGAATCGAGCGTCACAGCAACCATTTCGGTATGTTCAAAAATGAAAATTAAGAATATGATGATTGTTTTCGCATATATATTTATATATATAGATTATTAAAATATTATTCTTTAAACTTTAAGGTACAAACGAAAGTATTTTTTAAGATTCAACGAGTATAAATTCTTAAAATTTTCAGAAAATTGAGAAAAAAACTATTTAATTGCTCAAATTTAATACTAAAAAATATATTGTTTTATCTTTTGAATTAGTGTACGACGAATACGATTATTAAAAACTATATGGCAACATTTGAAAACGACATTAGAAAAAAGTACATTCAATAATGAAGAGGTTAGATATTTGTTTCTATTAGAATATTGAAGATTATTCAATGCTTAATCATAGGATGCTTTACAACGTGTTTTTAATGTTTATTGTTTAATAACTTCTGTTTGTCAAGCATTTATCGGATGTCAAATACGTCAGATTAAATTAGGATCCATTGAAGAAAATGAATTTTATTTGTCTTGGTTAACTATCGATGAAATTAGTTCGATTTATGGTTATCTAATTAATACACTTGCTTATTTTGTTAATAGTGTTACTGTTGGATTGTTCTCTCTTGCTTATGAATATGTTTTAGCTACAATTGTTGCAACATCAATTTATATTTCTGGTAAATGTCTCAAGGTTTTCTATTTTGTGGCAAAATAAAATGAACATGATTTTTTCTTCAATATTCGAAGAATGGAATCAACCATCTACCTGTAGTCTTCAGTATAGAAACATCAACTGTATAGAAAATACGATGAAACAAAATTTATGAGAATGTCGAATTTCTGTTGAATGTCTTTCTGAGTTCAAGCATTTTTCTTAGTCAAACTTAATTTTCGACATGACCATCCAACAGAGAAAATTGTTTCTTTCCAATCGGCGTAAGGTCGTAAACTTTAAGTTGATCGAAAGAAAATAATTTTGTCTCATCGTATTTTCTCCATATTGGTGTTTCTTAGCTGAAAAGCTACAGATAGATAACTGTTTTTGTTCTTCAGATCTTGAAGAAATAGTCATGTTCATTTTATTTTAGAAACAATAGTAATATTGGAAATAAATAATTTTTGAATCTGTTTAGATGAATTAGATATTCGTTTACGTGAAGATACTCTATCGATTTTATGTCTCTCTTGGTTATCATCCCTTACTGACTGGTATGATTTTCAACCGATAACAGATACATGTAAAATAACTAAACAACTTGCTCAAACATTTCAATCAAAATTCAATCAAAACGATCGATTAATATCTTTACAATGTTTAGCATTATTTAATTCACAATTTTATCCTATACTTCGTCTTCATATTTTTTCTTTATGTCTTAATGATAATGATATAAACACACAATTAATGGCACTTAAAGTATTGCCATTAATGCAATATAATTTACAAACAACATCTTTCTTATCAATATTTTATACGAAATATTGTTCGAACGATATTGATGATCAACTTAAACCAATAGTAATAGATATTTGGCGTATGCATCGATGTTTATTCGATATTGATGCTAATACTGTTCGATTGAAAGTAAGTGCAATCATCAAATTGATTGAGCTTCCTGCTTAAAAAAAAGATGATTTGTATTTATTGAAATGAGATCAAACAAGTAGAGAGCTGCAAGGGTGCGTTTTTATGAACCCGCATCCTTCTATTTGCATAGATTCATTTCAACATTATTCTAAAATTCAATATTCTTTAGATTCATGATCATTTCAATCAAACAATTGTCAATTCATTTGAACTTATCTGTACTTCATGTTCATTCTTAAATGATCATGTTTATATTCGTTCACGATCATCAACAACTAGCACTAACTCAACATTATTTTCCTTATCAAATATTCTTCCAATATTTCATTTATTTAATCAAACATCTATTCCATGCAATTATGTTTCTCTAATCGAATTTTTTCAAACATTTGATTCTCATCCATCATTTATTCGTCCTCTTAATGATCTTGATGAAAATTTTCTTCAACTAAAATATCTAGTTAATACTTATCTTAATCAAAATAATCAAGAACGTTTATGTTTATTATCTATTATGCCATATTTATTTAAAACAATTTTCATTTCAAATAATCGTCAATGGGAAAGTTCTCTGAATGACAATCTTGATCAATTTTTATTTGATACATTAACACAATTAAATAATGATGCTATTCGACAAACAACAAATCATCATGATGATGATTATAGTCGTTTAATACATTTATGTGGTTTAATAGCACGACGTACATGTAATGAAGATATATTTGTTTTTGTTTTATTTATATTAATAAATGGTTTAGCAACATCATTTCAACATACATCACAAATTGAATTAATGAGTATAGCTAAAGATGAATATTTACAAAGTCGTAATCAAATTCAATTAAATAAAAATAAAAATCTTTTAACAATAAATGAAAAAATTGATTTAACAACAATTGTACAACAACATACAGATAGTTTATATCGTCTCATATCACAATCATTATTATTAAATTCTGAACAACCATCAGATATATGTTTACGCCATTTACATTTATTATTTAGTATGATGCAACAAAATGGAAGTTCATTTAATACATATTTAAAACGTATTTTACCAGATTTATTACCATGGATTGTTGAAGAACGTTCATTAAATGCAAGTCGAGTTGTACAACATATTCGAACAGCTGTTAAAATGTCAAAGAAAAAAGTTATATTTGATGCATTTCCAGCAATATATTCACATGTGTGGAGACATGTACGTCTTGACAATAGTAAAAGTTCAAATGGAGATTATTCAATAAATCGTGTTTATGAAGTTAATGAATTTATTGAACAAGAAGCTGGTGCTGATTTAGCTGCTGTATTTCGTTTTGGTGGTCCACCAATATTTAGTAAATTATTACTTTATATAAGTACACATCCTGACCATGTTATGAAAGGTTTACAAATGGCTGTTGGTATATTAGATGGAATAACATTAACAATTGATAAAGACTATTCAAATGTTGTTACAGAAGAATGTGTTCATAAAGCATTACAATCAAAATTATTGGGCATTTTGTGTGATTTTGAAACAGAATTATTATCGAATAGTACACCTTTACATTCGAAAAAACGAGTATTATTAAGTTTAACAGAAGTATTGAAAATCATGAGTATGTTTCTGTATTTTGAAAAGTATTTCAAAGAATTTGATTTCTGCAGAGAAAGGAAGAAGTTTAGAATGCATATTAAACCCATGTACACCTGCAAATTTTTTTATTAGTCAATAGAATTTGGTATTTACAAAAGCAAGTCTATTGTAGATAAGCATATCTAGTGTCGGCAATCTAAACTGAATCTTTGATTTTAATCAACTTGAAGTATATTTCAAGCTTATGCTAAATTATTTGTCTTACTAAAGTCTGACATTGTAGAGCTCTACATCGGAGTCGGAGTATATGAGTTCTTGTACTAGCTCCCCCAAAACTCAATTACGCATCAGAACAGGAGATCTTATACGAACACACGCGATAACATTTGCACCCAATGTATTTTTGATATCTATATTTCCTATGCTAGTACTTAATTGAGTTTTCAAGAAAATCCTAAACAATATCAGAAAAGTATTCTTATTAACAAGTAGCATAAAAATAAGTGTATGGCCATTTCAGACAAATCGAGTCATGCCCACAAAACCGAAAATTTTAGAACTAGATTCGACGGTACGAACTACATTTAGGGTGAATTTTCAGCAAGGTTCAACTCCAAAAAGCTGCCTTTCAAAAATTGATTTGCTAAAGATTCTATTAAATCTTGGAACAAAAGTTTTTGTCTTGACGTCACACTAGATGTTCTGAAAAAGGATTTATATGATTTGATATTGGTTTTGAATTTCTCATTCGATTAAAAGGACACTTTTTCATTTGTCTATACGTACTTCTTCATGTCGTTAACGCTAGTTTCTTTACTGATAACTACTCTGAACAAAAGATCTCTAGCGCTGATTCTTTCAAGATATCTAAAATAACTTTAGATATCAGTAACAAAATAATTAGCTCTAAAGGAGTTCATTATTCTAAAATACACGTATGTTAACTTTACCTATATAAAATGTCAAAAATAAATTTTCAGAGTTTCTTGGAGTTGAACTAAGAACATTTCACTCCCTAGGATTTTATTCGTTCGTTGTAACTTAATATTAATCAGATTATTGGGTTCTTGATTTAGTCATCAGTAAGACTTTTAAAATATGATATCTGACCACTTACGTCCGTTTCAGAGTTAAATGGACGTGGCCATTTTTCGAATAACTTGTGATCGACTCAGGCTATCGAGCTCGGGGTTGCATAGTTGGAAAGAGCGGACTCCAATGTATTTTTGTGTATAACTCATTTGAGTCTACACACACTTTTTTACGACTGTTTATGCGTCGGTATATTGTTTTTATGTTTTTTCCACGACTTCTTTTTGGCATTTTAATCCCCGTTATACCAAATTGTTGCCGGAATTCAGCTGTACAGTCGAGTCCACTTATAAGAGCTCCGGATAAAGGAGCGGTCAGCTTTTAAGAGCCGTTTTCCAATTTCCCGTTTTTTTCTCCTGTGTTTTACGTGCTGGCAAAGTCCGCTTATGAGAGCTTCGGATAAAGGAGCGGTTCGCTTATAAGAGCTTTGTTTTGGCGCTTTTTTGCGATTTGAGTCCGCATAAAAGAGCCATATTGTATGAACTTGTTCTTTTCTTTTTCTATTCATCTGTTGCACGTATGCTCTTTTTCGTCTTACTCACTTGTCCTAACTGACGTCTTTGTTGAGTAAGAAGAACCATTGTCTTTTTCTGTCTATTATTCATTTTCTAAACAGTCGGACGAAGCTTCTGGACTTTTTCTCTAGTCCATCTATTGTCTCTCTCCTATGTATATATACTTGCTGTTTCTTCAATAAAGGGGTCATATATTCATCCATCCAAAAGGTAATATATATTTTAGACGAAGAAGAAGCCGGAATTGTTGATGAACCGATGCCAGGTATCTCTCATAAAGATGCACTGATGCATCTTTCGATGGTTCGCAAGTATTTGGAAGAGAATTTTACAGAGTATAATTCATATTATGATATCGAAGACATGATCGAAAAGAACGCTTTAATTAATCGTACTTAAAGTAAAATCACGGATTTCTTTAAGTAAATTTATGTATGTCTATGTACTACTTAGCAAATGTTGACAAGAAACAATTTTTGCACTGTTTTACATATAGTTCGGATAAAGGAGCGGTCCGGATATAAGAGCCTCTTTTAGAAACCCCGACTACGCTCTTATAAGCGGACTCGACTGTATCATGAAATGTATGAGAAGTAAGCAATGACAGAGCAGAAAAATTTCTCATTCAGCTGAAAGTTGAATGAACAAACTTTTCTATGGCAATGCAATCAAATAACCGATCGTCATCGTTAACTGAGCAAGATGATGACTTTCATGAATGATCTTCTTATTCATACTTGCACCGTCTACCTCCGATCTAGTTGAAAGGGTGTTTCTCTCGAGTGGCATACTCATGTATCCTCATTAGAGTCGACTCCCTAAGAATATGCTTTCAATGGTTACTTTACTAAAATGCAATCGGCATTTGCTGTAGCTCACTAGTCTATTTGGCATCGTAAATAATCTTCATACTATAATAAGGCTAAGTTAAATATATTGAGAATTAGTTTTTTTTGTCTATATTCTATAAGTATATATGTTGAAATAAAACGTCAAGTTTACTGCACATCAAGCTTCAACAAAAACAGCAAAAAAAGTATTTTTCATTACAGCGGAGCTTGAGCGGAGTCTGAGCGGAGTACTTCGTAATTTCTGTGGAGCGGGAGTGGAGCCGAAGCGGATGGTTTATTATTGAAGCCGGAGCTGGAGCGGAGCGACTCGTTAGTGACTGGAGCTAAAGCGAGAAATGGTCGGAGCTGCCCATCTCTGATCAAAATTCAATACAGTAACAATAGTTTTATTTTTCTTTTTTAACGAACTAAAGCATAAAGTATCAAATTGAACCGATCTTTCATAAATCTCTTTGAGTTAGTCATATGTGTTATAATCTTTTTTTTTTACATTTGAATCTGACAGGAATTATGTGAACAGTTGTTTGATCTTTGATTTTCTTAGATTCATCCCAAATTGTTGCAACACGTGTAAAACTTCTTCGATCACTTCGTCTAGCTCTCCAATGTTCATCAGAATTAAGTCTAATCGTATTTAATCTTTGGAAAGAATTTATTCATCATTTAAGTAGTAATGTTGATATACTTTCATCAATGATATTACAATTAATTGCATCATTATTACCATATCATGAAATAAATAGTGAACATTTTCAAGAATTAATTCTCCTTATGTTAAATAATATTTCAAATAATCAAATAGCTTTACTAACAGATGATTTATTACTTATTCCACAAATAAATCAAATTGAAAAGATTCAAATAAAATTAAATAAGTGTAAAAAACAATATACAGAAATGCATGATAATCAATCAAAACTAAACAATGATGAACGTACATTATTAGAAAATAAATTTCAACGTCTGATAACACTTTTAAATTTTGATATGATGGATATACGTTTACATGCTTTAAATAGTTTAGAAAATTTATTAAAAACAAATCGTCCATATTTATTACAAATGTGTTTATCACGTGATACAGTTCCATCAATAATAACTCGTCTTATATTAACATTACTTGAACGTTCAAATGATACAAATCAAAACATACGTTTTATTGCTATAAATTGTCTTGGTGAAATAGGTGCTATTGATCCTGGACGAATAGAATTTCGTAAATTATATTCAACAATAGCAACATCAACATCATTAATTAATCGTTTATTATCAAATTCAAATCCTGAAATTAATAATGATAATTTAAAACGTTGTTATTTTAATTTATATTCACAAGAATTTGCATTAGAATTATTTTCTGAATTAACACGAGCTTTTCTTGCTGCTGATCAAGTACGACAACAAGATACAATATCATATGCAATACAAGAATGTTTAAAATTTTATAATTTAAATTTATCAGATGATAATGAAAAAATTAAAATTAATCAACAATTATGGACAAAATTAAATCAAGAACAACAAGATTTATTTAAACCTTTACGTACATCGAAATATGTTTTAACTGATGAAACAAATTTAAAAACAAATAAATCACAAGATGCAATTTTAAAACAATTAACTATAAAAACATATGAACAATGGTTAACACAACTTGTACCTTATTTAATTCAACATTTACCAAATAATAATTATTATCATTTATTTCATTCTTGTTTATTTGCTGTTAGATTTAATAGGTGAGTTAGCACAAGAAAAAATTTTTATATTGCGTTTGATTCACAACTAATAGAAACAGATCGTTCTTCTTTTGATCATCATCGGCTATTTTCCGATAATGAAATTTTATATTTGAGATACAGGAAGTAAAGCCTATACTATTTTATGAAAAACAATCTGATTTCTTCTCACAGGCATAGACCCCAAAGAGATGTCAATCAAAATCTGAAAACATATGAATTTGTCCAATGTTTTATCTAACGAGAGGGCACCTTTTTGGAGCTTTACATCATCGCTCTACAAAGAAAAATCTACGCAAAATACTGTTCTTGTACAGTGAATACCGAAGAATAAAACTTACAATTTAAAAAGCGTTTTATTCTAAGTTTGATTTATTTGTGAGATGATTATTTCACGTAGAAATTGACTCCAGTGCAGCTCTCTACTCTATGTTCGATAGTCTATGGCAGATGCTGATATGCAATCCAAAATTGCATATCAAAAACGTCTCGTTGTAATATGTGAATTACTTTCTTATTGTATTTCTGAAGAAGAAGGTTTTTAATCCTATAGAGATTGCTCTAATATCTTTTTTTCTCTTACTTTTTAGTTCTATTGGTTCATTTTTGTTACCCTATATAATTCTTCATTTAATTGGTGAAAATCTTGGTCAAGATGTACTAGATAAAGAAGTTAAAGCATTAATTTCTTACACAAATCAATATGATGCCAACGAAATAAATCCATCTTCTGATGTTCTTCATCAAATTGGTCAAATTATATTTACTTTAATCGATTTTCTTCTTTTATTTTCTTCCTTAAACACAATCGATCCAAATGAACAAGCCAAACAAATAAATCAACGTAAACGTCAGCCACCACAACCGCAACCACAACAACAGCAAACAAATCAAGATCCATTAAATATTCAAGATGGTACATGGAATAATTTAGGTATAACACGCATACGCGATTATATTCGTTTATTACATACTGATCTTTCTCTTGCTCCTATTGCATTTAAATATGATCATTATACACGTGCATATCGTCATTTTGAAATGTATTCATCGATTGAACAACAAATAGATGTTTCTCATAATAGTGAATTTCTTTTAAAATTATTTCATCGTTTAAATGATCCAGATTCAGCTTATGGTATTATTGCTAGACGTAATATGACACCAAAACAATTAGATAATCCTCGAACAGATATTTATGAAGAAATTCTATCTTATGAATTAACTGGACAAATTGATGAAGCTATTGTTGCATATGAAAATGTTTTAGAAATGAATGAATTAAATCAAACAAATATACATTTATATTTAGGTTATTTAAATAATTTATTAACTCAACAACAATTTCAACATACAATTGATCAATCAACTGGTATTATTGTTCAATATCCAACATGGATTAATATGTTAAATCCATTACGTATTGAAGCTGCATGGAAATTATCAAAATGGAATTTATTAGAAAAATTTTGTTCATATCAAGATGAAAATTTATATATAAATCATAATGAACAAATAAATGAAAGTTCAAAAATGAATATTTTACAGGATTTACATGTTTCAAAACAATTTGAAGAATATGTTGGAAAAATTTTATGTCAAGCTAAAAAACAAAATCGTGAACAATTCTATACAGAATTTCGTTTAGCATTAAATTCTTTAATGGGTCCTATATCAGCAGCTAGTATGGAAGTTGGATCATATCAACGTGCATATGATTATTTAGCTAAATTACATTTACTTAAAGATCTTGAATATTATGTTTTAAAAAATATATTTCATGATGATCATTCTATTATGATTATTGATAATGATAATATTGATGATATATGGTCACAACGACATGCATTATTACCACCAAATAGTAAATATATTGAACCATCATTAGCATTAAGACGAACACTTTTATTATTGGATGATATTAATCATACGAAACAACATGCATTAGAAATTGGTGAATGTTGGTTACATAGTGCACGTATAGCACGTGCACAAAATAATTCTTTAGCAGCTATTGGATCATTAATGAAAGCTAATCAATCACATCCAATTGAAGTAGCCATTGAACGTGCACAATGGATGTGGGATAAAGGAGAAAAAGATCGAGCTATTATGAGTTTAAAACAAAAGAAAATTGAATTATTAGATTCAAGAACAATCAATGAAGGAAATCATAATGAAAATAGATTACAAGGTTTGATTTTCATATTCAATTAATAACAGAATTACCATATTAGGAAGGAAATGCTAGGGACTTTCTCTTGAGCAAAGTTTTTTCAGTTTCGTGGGATTCATAACAGAGGAAATTTTAGCAATTTTATATTGGTTTCTGACTAGATAGGTGCACGGTAAGCTTTTGTCTATTCTGCATAAAGTTCAGCGGCGCCAAAAAAACTGGAATCGAAAATCAATCTGAAGTCATGATTCCAGTTTCAAGTAATTTTTTGAACCATTGAAACCATACAAAAACGCTTTCTTTGAGGAAAAAAACACCACCGTAAGTCAATGGCTTAAATATCTTTTGTTCGATCTCTGCCAGAAACACGAGCGAAGACACTATCTGCCTCTACCACTCTCAAAATTAATTGGGAATGTTCACTGCTGAAAGTCATTTTTCTTTTCTTTTAGTTTCAACTGATTTGAAAGCACAAGTGTGGTTATTATTAGCTCGTTATAGTGAACAGAATTCTCCTCATGAAGCCGTTTTTGAAATGTATAAACAAGCTCAAGAAGCAGCTCCACATTGGGAAGAAACACATTTTTATTTAGCACAATTTTATGATACATTACTTTCATCATGTATTGAATCTGATCCAACATCATCGAATTCTACTGCAACAACAACAACAAATAATTTTCTATCATCTAGTGGACTTTCATTAGAAAATAAATTACGTATGATGGAATATATTCGTTTAGCTGTTAATACATATTGTCGTTCATTAAAATATGGTTGTGAATTTATCTATCAATCATTAACACGTTTATTAACAATATGGCTTGATTTTGCATCTGATCTTGTCCCATTTATTAAACCAGTACCAACAACAACATCACGTAAACAACAACCATTAACAGTTGCAGCAACTAATTTACCTGATGCAGCACAAATTAAACAATATGGACAAGCAAAATTAACTGAAATAACACGAGAAGTATCGTCATGGACAACACGTGTACCACCTTATTTATTTCTTGCTGCTTTTCCTTATATGGTTTCACGTATATGTCATAGTGAAGATATGACATCAAAAGCTTTAAATTCCATTATAACCCAAGTATTTGCTGCTTTTCCTCAACAAACATTATGGATGATGATTAATTTATATGGTTCATCGAATAGTATGCGACGTGATCGTTGTATTGCTATTTGGAATGAAGCTTCGAATATTGAACCTGGTTTACATGATTTTGTTGTTGAAGCAACAGTACTTATCAAACAACTGGATACATTATGTATGCATGCTGTTACATATGGACAAAATAAAATAAGTTTATCAACACAATTTAAATCATTTAAACGTTCATATGCTAATCAATCAGCATGTCCAATTCTTATACCAATTCAATCACAAATGCAAGTTTGTTTACCACCACCACCAGTAAGATTTTCTCTATCGACAACATTAGCACATGTTCAACAACAACAAATAAACAATGTTGATCTTCCATCAGAAACAGCAGTAAAATTAACAGCTATGGTAAATAAACAAGGTTCATTAGGACGAGCAACAGCAAGAAAAACTGCACAAGTAGGATCAACAACAACTGGAACAAATAGAATGCCACAAAAAATGTATTATGATGCACGACATCAACCATTTTCTGATGCTGTTGTGACGATTCAGAGTAAGTTGATATTAAGGATAATCGTTTCTCTTTCTGGACTTCTCGACTTCATTTCGAAATATGATCGATATGACTTGTACAAAAAGAGTGTTGCGTGTTTTTTATTTGTTTGTCAGTGATTCAGCATCTCACAGTCGCTTTCCATGTTCTGTTATCTATTCTTCTCTGTCTGTTCTAAACAGGAGATGAATTTCAATCGATATAATATTTTTCTCTGACTACATCAATAGAAAAAGAAACAAATAAAAGTATTCAGAAGAAAATCAAAATTCAATTTTGTTTTGCATTTCTGTTTTGACCAAATCAAATTTCATATAAAAAAGAGTTCTGTATCGCCTTCACTTCTCCAACAGAATAAGAAGGGTCAAATTAAAACTTTTTTCATATATACTAGTCACTATTTGGCATCAGTATTTTTTGAGTTCAAAAACTATAATTTGACGTTTTTATTGAAAGAACAAACGATATAAGGGAACCAAGCAAAATGCTTACCACAAGTTATCTGGGAGAAGCAGAGGAGAAATGAGGGATCATTTTGATCTATTGTGAGTCATATACCTGATAGGATATATTATTCTAGAATTTTGAGTCTAGCACAACTGTCACTCTATTCTTCCAGATCTATCACTCCTAATCAAATACAATAGCTCGACTTTTCGAAATATTTTTATTTTTTCAAACCGAGAATTTATATAAAAGCATAGTAATGAAAGCTTAAATAATTTATTCTACTTAAGAACAGGTCACAGAAGTAGAAAACGAACTAGTTCTAAAAGATACAAAAACAAAACTTTTTTTAATTTAGGTTTCGAAGATACTATTGAAGTATTATCATCATTACAACGACCAAAAAAAATTGTTATACATGGTAGTGATGGACAATTATATCCATTTTTATGTAAATCTCAAGATGATCTTCGTGTTGATTCACGTTGTTTAGATTTTTGTCATTTATTTAATAAATGTTTAAAGAAAAACAGTGAAACACGTCGTCGTCAATTAAATATTCGTACATATGCTGTTTATCCAATAAATGAACGTTGTGGATTAATTGAATGGTTACCTAATTTATGTACATTTCGTTCATTAGTAACAAAATTTTATCGACAACGTAGTTCAAATTTTTCTGAAGTATCCAATCGAGAAATAAAAGTTTATGGCAATAGTAAAGATAAAACAAAAGAAACTCGTTATAATGTAAGTCATATGTAAAAGAATAATTTATTTTTTTCATTTATTTCGTTTATTTAAAACCAAAAAAAAAAAAAGGATTTCCTTAAATTATTGGCTTTTCATCAACCAGCTGTATTTCATCAATATTTTTTTGCTGCCTATCCTGATCCAAATCGTTGGTATATAAGTCGAATGAATTTTGTTCGCTCAACAGCTGTTATGTCAATGATTGGTTATATAATGGGTTTAGGTGATCGACATTGTGAAAATATTCTTATTGATACATGTACAGGTGAAACAGTTCATGTTGATTTTAATTGTTTATTTAATAAAGGTAAAAATTTTTTAAGGTAAATAATTTTTAATATAAGTCTATTTATATCTTAGGCTTAACATTTGAAATTCCCGAAAAAGTTCCATTTCGTTTAACACATAATATTGTTGATGGTATGGGAACATTAGGTGTTGAAGGTGTATTTCGTAAAACATGTGAAATTATTTTACATTTAATACGTAATGAACGTGAATTACTTGTATCAGTGTTGAAAACATTTATTTATGATCCATTAGTGGAATGGAAATCAGCAACAAGAGAAGAAGTTGCTAATATGAAAAAACAACAAATTGAAGGTGGAGAAGTTGTTAATATGAAGGTAAACAGAAAATGAATATTTAGTTTTTTTTTTCTTGAATTGAAATAATGAAAATTTATAAATAGGCTCAAACACATGTGAGAAATATATTAGAACGTGTACGAGGTTATTGTACAGATGAATTAACAGGTAAACGTGTTGTATTACCATTATCGGTTGAAGGACAAGTTGATCATTTAATTCAAGTATGTTAAATAAATTCATAATGTCATTTTTTTTGTTCTTATTATTTGATCTTATTTTTCTTTTAAGCAAGCAACAAGTAATGAATTATTATGTCAGATGTTCATCGGTTGGGCGGCTTATTTATGATAATAAACATTTTCTTTATCAGTCAGATATTTTCGCATCTATTCATGTGTTTTTTCTATCTCATTATCTTTTTTTTTTTGTATTTCTCTGATAGTAACTTAGTGCAATAAAAGAAAGGAATTATATATGATTAGTAATTATTAATTGAATAATTAAACAGACAATGTTCCGACGTTGGTCTTCTCTTTTAACATTTTGAATAGAGGTTTGCATGAGCCTCCAAACTCTGACTCTGTGGAAATTGATATAAATTACAAAAACTTTGAAAAAAACGGGATGATATTGGGTTTTCTTTCATCAACAAATTTTATGAAGAAAAACAAATATAATTTTGTATTAGAAAATTATTGTTATCATATAAATGAGACCATAATTCATTTGTTCATAAGCTAGTGACAACAAAATATTATTGTAATATTTGACTAATCTTATTTTAAATATTCTTTTAATAACAAAGAATTTTTTTCATAATGTTTCATTAAATTAAGAATTTGTTAATATTGAAAAAAAAATTTCTATATTGTGAAGGCTTATGTATATGGTTGTCAAGTTGCTTCATCGTAACCATGTTGAACATATAATCGTTCTTCAATTCATCATTTACTTCACATGAATTTGTATGCGACTATATCCGCTAATCGAAAGAATTTTTCTAGTCTTTCTACTGATGGTTATGTTCGTTTTCAAAATGTCGGATAATGTCATTTACTGTTTAGTTTATTTCTTTTTCTCCAAGTTTTGAAATTGTTCAGCAAAAAAGAAATGCATCGATAAAACGGGACGATACCCATTCCAACAATAAAAATAATAGACATAAAGTCATCGGTATGCATTTTCGTAGATACGCGAATAAAATTTATGTCCCATGTGAATCAATTGATACATGAAATATGAGAATTATATTTATGAATTGAATTTTAATTGGATGATTGATAGATGTTTTTCATCAACAGAATTTTTAATTTTCCATATGAATTAAATGATAACACATACAATTCATCTTATAAAAAATTTTAATATATGAATGAACGAATAGAAAAAAGAACAAGGCTGATTAGTTTTTAATCTCTATGCATACATTAAGATTTGTTTATTCATTCTTTTCGTATACATTATTCTTTCCGTATAATTATTGTTTGATAAAAGGAAGAGAAAGAATAAAAGAGAAGCCTATTTTTATTATTTTATAATTTTCATAAAGTAAGTGAAACGAGCTTTATTCTCTTAGTGTATTTAGATGAAATCTGTATGTGCTATCACCATGGTTGAGATTAACAATAATGAAAGTGAACTTGACTCGAATGTTCACTAGTAATATTATTCATTCTCATTGTTCAATAACATGTTTCGATCATCGTTTTCTACACTTGTTATTATCATTATTTTAATGACATTATTTGTAAATGGAAAGACTATAAATAATCGAAGATCAAAACTGTTATCTACACGTAATCCAATAAGTATTAAAATATGTGGTCGATCTTTGATTCGTTTACTTGATATGGTATGTAATCGAGCTAGACAATTACTAGTAAGAAGTGAAATATCGTCTTCATCATCACCATTGAAACGACGATTTAAAATCGAAGATGATTCACATTTACGTACAATTTCGATTACTGAGTATACACGTAAGTTGAATTGTAATTATATACAAGCATATAGATTTTTGATTCTTTTAGAATTTAATGATACATTAATTGATGAGTGTTGTCTTCAAGCTTGTTCACTTAAGACATTATTAAAATATTGTTAACAATTAATAAAAACATGGTCATAATCGAACAATAGTAATCAATTGTGTTTCTTTTTTTTGTGTAGGATAATTTGATGAGTTTATCAATCATCTTTATGAGTGTTTTTTTTTTATAAAAGTGTCGAGTCTTTAGAGTAAAGATAACAATTGTATGATAAAATCAGTTCTTTTCAAAAAAGTGTCATGCAAAATTTTTCATGATGAAATGTTAAAAGTTTTGTTATAATAACAGAAGTTGCTAGAGTGCGAAATATTCATAATTGACTAATCAGATTGCATCATATAGCAACCAACCAACGGAAAGAGCACGTTATAATTGTCAATTCGTTTCATGAAGTTTTGATCGAATATTGAAATCTAAATTTTGTTAACAGAGGAACCCAGATTCAATTTCAGAATCAATAGATGAGACAAGATAGTACTGAATTTATGAATTCGATAGTGCTTCAATCTCATATATAGATCACAAATTGATTGTTTAATTGAATGTGATCGAGATCCGATATATGAATAAGTAATATTAGAGTATATGATGTTTTTATTGCTATTTTTAAAACCTACAAGTTGGACTAATGTACCAAGAAGCCTTCATGTTTTTTATATACCAAATTTGAAACCATTTCTTAGACTTTTTTACAGTTGAAGCATTAAAATAACGCTTTTTAACTGGTGACAATATCAAAAAAACTATTTCAAACAATGTTTAACACATGCGAAAGCAAGTAAAAATAGATAGAGTATGCTTTTAGATGTGAGTATAGAGAATAGCAACAGCTCATACCTACACTCCGGCTTCCAAAAATCGTGGTTTTTAACCTCCAGATGTCATTTTTTTCTTAAAACAATATCTCAGTACTACGATAACACAATATTCGCAATAAGCGTATGAAATCGCATCCGACTATATTTCTTGACCAAAACAAATTTATCGAAAAATAAGTTTATTTTTAATATAAGATACACATCGACAGCAGCACAGAGAATGGTGGAAACAGAGGATTGACCCAGTAAACTAAGAACAATGACATTGATCAAATATGACATTCACTGGGGGTGTGAGTGTGGAGGAAATCGATAAATCCCAGACCCACTCTAGAATAATTAGGTTTTAGCGATTAGTCATTTTTAATGTAATAGATATGTTTCGTATCATCTAGAATTGTTTTTTTTTCATTATTATACTAGTTTTTTGTTGTTCTTATCTAATTCATAAAATCATTCGAACATTTGATATTGTTTTTATGTTTTATCATTTGAAATTCACATTGAGGTCTAAAATTGTAATACAACGACATAAAACATAGTAGTGAAAAAATGTATGTCTTATTGAAATTTTTTCAGATCGACTAGCAGAGATATAACTGTTCATTGATGAGTGATTTTTAAATTTAAATATCTATGAGTAAAATAAAGTTTTTTATTTCGATAATGTAGATCGATTTTCTTGTGGCTACGAATAGCTAATAATTCCACATATCGCATGTGAAAGTTATCTTCATTGAAATCCATGCAACAATCACACCCACACCCTTCCACTCAATAATATTAAAATTTTTTAGCTTTCTTTTAAGTTGTTTGAGAAAAGGAGAATTTATGCATCTCCAGAGAAAAATGTTTTTATTAAAAATACTCGTTGTACCCTAAAGTTACACGAATACATGTGAACATGTGAGTATCAACGTGCAAACAAACAGACACACACAAACTTATTTTATTTGGTATGATCCTCCGATCAGTCAAATAAATTAAAGTACAACATTCACTAATCAAAAAGAATAATTCTAATCAATGCAAGCTGATGAAAGAGTTTATTTATAATATTTAATGAAATTTTGACTGTTTTGGGTTATTTTTGTTTAAAATCGCTTAAAAAATGGTAAAAAAATCGATTTCAACCTGATTTTAACCTTGTGGTTTTTTTAGATGGAGATCAGCCGTTGCCTTTCTTTCGGCTAGAATTTACAAATACGTAGATAGTTTCTTTTATTGAATATTTTCCTAGTTCGATCGTTATCTTTTCTCCATATTCTCTCTCTTCGTGCCTCTCATGGTCTTCTCCTCAGTAACCTGTACTCAAAGATGTTATACAATAAAATTATTCGGTGATATATTTTTTCTGCTCATACTACTTCACCTTTTCTCCTCCATTCCTATTTTAAGCACTTCCGAATATCATAATGAAGTAGTATGAAACCAAAAAACAAACTCAAAGTACATGTTGTACTTTAATTACTATGATTTTACACTGTGATTTTTCAATAAACGATGACAAACCAATGAATCAAGCATTTATTTTCGTCTCTTGATTGATTCTTCTCGTCAAGGCATAGGAAGACATCGTGGTTACCTTGGCAATATCAGTAATAATTATGCGTCATTTGCTAGAATACTGAGAATATTATTTATGGTCTACTGCTGCTTTAAAAAAAGATTCTAAATAATGTATCGCGCACAGTTGTATGCGTCGTTAAATTTTTTTGATTCGTACGACTCTTGTATATAAGCGAAATTTAAAAGAATGAGCAACACTGTGAATATATCAGCAACACTTTTACCAATCACGTTTCGTTGTGTTTCGATACTATCGATTTTACAGTGAGTCTTTGCTCTTGTCTAGCAGTTGGAATAACAGAGATACTCTGACAGAATTTTTTTATAGAATTTTCAACTGATCATATGGCTCGTACTTCCCTCATTTGTGCTTTACTGGTAATGATTTTGGCTGCTCATGTTTGTAAGTACCACAACTGAATCGTTCAACATTCTTCTAATTGTTGCAATTTATTAACTAATAGATCAAGCCCATGGTGGTTCATGTGGATGTCCTAAAAATTCAGATAAGTGCGAACAAAATTGTATCAAGAAAAATCCAAATATGAGTAATGTTAAAGGAGCTTGCAAAGGAACTTTATACCTGTACTGCAAGTGTAGTGTCAACGGAGGAGATTGGTATTCAATAGCTGAAAGTTGTTGAACACAAGAATAGCAAGCAGTAAAAGAACTTCTTTTTTAATCATGCTTATTTATACTTAAATGTTTATATGTAAATGTGTAAATGGAATATTTTCTTTAAATAAAATTTATTCTTATTGCAAAACCATGTTTATGTTCAATTGTATTTAAAACAAGTTTGAATGAATTTTATACTTTGAAAAAAGTAATTGTCAAAGTTTAAATGTTTATATTGTTGTTGTATACCATTTCGGTCATAATTCCCTACCTAGATGTTAATCTGGGTCTTATT